AAATGGCACACAGGATCTGATGCAAGAGGTGAATATAGCTGAACCACTCAGTAACAGCAACCATAATGTAATTAAATTTAACATCCTTGAAGGAGGGAAATACAAAGAAACCCACTACGGTAGCACTTAACTTCAGAAAGGGAACTGCACAAAAATGAGACTAGTTAAACTGAGATTAAAAGGAACAATCACAAGAATGAAATCCCTGCAAACAGCATAGAAACTTTTTTAAAACTATCATAATAGGGGCTCAAATTATATGTAACCCCCAAATAAAAAAATGGTAAGAGGACCAATAGAATGCCACCAGGGCAAAACAGAGTACAAGAGGCCATTTGAGACAAAAAAAAATCCTTTAAAAACTGGAAGTCAAATCCTACTGAGGAAAATAGAAAGCAGCATAAACTCTGGCAAGTCAAGTATAATTAGGCAGGCCAAAAAATAATTTGAAGAGCAACTAGCTAAAGACACAAGAACTAAACAGCAAAAAAATATTTAAGTACAAAAGAAGCAGAAAGCCTGCCAAACAATCAGTGTGGCCACTGGGCGATCGTGGTGTTAAAGGAGCACTTAAGGAAGACAAGGCTATTGTGGAGAAGCTACATGAATTCTTTGCATCGGCCTTCACTGCAGAGGATTTAATTTGAGGGAGATTCCCACACCTGAGCCTTTTTTTTAGGTGACTAATCTGATGAACTGTCCCAGACTGAAGTGCCAATAGAGGAGGTTTTGGAACAAATTGATAAATTAAACAGTAATAAGTCACCAGGGCCAGATGGTATTCACCCAAGAGTTCTGCAATTTCATATTGAGTTCCTTCGGAGCTACTGTGGTATGTAACCTATCGCTTAAATCAGCCTCTGTACCAGATGACTGGCAGATAGCTAACATGACACAAATTTTTAAAAAAGGTTCCAGAGGTGATCCTGGCAATAATAAGCCTGTAAACCTAACTTCAGTACCAGGCAAATTGGTTGAAACTATAGTAAAGTACAGAATTATCAGACATGTAGATGAATACAATACACTGGGGAAGAGTCAACACAGCTTTTGTAAAGGGAAATCATGCCTCGTCAATCTATAATTCTTTGAGGAGTCAACAGACATGTGGACAAGGATGATCCAGTGGACTTAGTATACTTGGACTTTCAGAAAACTTTTGATAAGGTCCCTCGTTAATCGTTCTTAAGCAAACTAAGCAGTCATGGGAGAAGAGGGAAGGTCCTCTCATGGATTAGTAACTGGTTAAAAGACAGGAAACAAAGGGTAGGAATAAACATAGGAATAAACGGTCAGTTTTCACAGTGGAGAGAGGTAAATAGCAGGGTCGACCCAGGAGCTATAGTGGGACCAGTGCTGTTCAACATGATCTGGAAAAAGGGGTAAACAGTGAGGTGGAAAAATTTGTAGATGATACAAAAGAAAGGACGTCCAAAGCAGACTGTGAAGAGTTACAAAGGGATCTCACAAAACTGGGTAGCTCAAGAAATTCGCAAGGCCAGCTTTTCTGATGAACAGGGTAGCCTGCCATGAACCAGAATCCATAGAACTTCTGTGGCTTTTGCAGTTTTTCATAGAGCAAATCACATTTAATACTTTAATACTTGGTTTGGGGAACCCCGGAGAGTGATGTTGTGCTTTGGAACCTTTATAAACTGAAGGAACTTCTCAAATTCAGAATCAAGAACCCAGTCCTGCAAGATGCTGAGTGACTTCCCCTCTCAGTAGGAGATGAAAGGGGCTCGGCACCTTACAGGATTGGATTGGAAGCATGCTAAAGTTGTGTGTGTGCAGACCAGGCCTAGAAAACACTGTCTGTGCCTTGTGTCTGTTAATGAAAAAATATTGGGACAGCAAATCATTTAAGAATTTTAATTAAACTGAAAAATTTTCAATACCATTTATTTTCTGACCTCAAAATCTCTGCTAACCTTTGCTTAAATTGAAATATTAACTCAACTTGCTCATTCTTCATTTTAGAATTCAGAAGTAATGTTACTGGTGGTGAAAGGTGCCAGATCAACAGCCTTGGAGACTGGAGTCTGCTGTCAATGAAGCAGGTAGTACCTGGGTAGCAGTACAACATATTTCCCTACGCTGACTTGCTTCTGAGTCGCAGACCTTTCATGGAGGATCATCTCAAAAGGTAAATTCTCTCTTTTACCAGTTTAATGTGAGGCCTCTAGGATGAAGCAATCAACAATGGGGCTAATTAGTGACATTGTGGTGGCATTTTTGTAATGGAGTCATCTGCCTATTAGGAAATAAACTGATAACTCAATGAATAGGCCATGCTCAGTTATCTGAATTGTGTGATTTTTGGTCACTAATGAGCTGGGACAGAGCTGAACCAAAGACCTACAGGAGAAGAGATGCTCTCTCTAAGGCTATCTCTATAGTGTGTATATTCTATTAGCAGCTTCCTACAATACCGGGCCAAATTCTGCTCTCAGTTATACTAGTATAAATCAGGAGTAGATCCACTGAAGTCAATCAAGTTACACTGAAAACATTGTAATTGAGAGAAGAGTCTGGCCCACTATCTTTTGAGATATCTAGCTACGTAGTCGATACAGTAACTATTAACATCAGTATCGCAGCTATCGATTGGCTAGATATGATGCAGTTGCTTGGATTTCCCCACCCTGACTGGGACTTCAATCAGAGTTAGCTGGCTGAACCCACAAAAGACAGAAGGACTGATTCAGATCTCAGCTACGCCAGTGTAAATCCAAAGTAACTCCACTGAAGTAAATGGAGTTATTCTGGATTTTCACCAGCATAATTGAGAGCAGAATTGGCCCAGACATTATGCTGATTGGCTGGGGGAAGCAACAAGAAGAAATAGCAGAGATTATTTCTTGCCCTTTGATTGTAGGAGTATGCCTGACTTTTGTAACTAAAAGTTCCCAGCTGAGGGATCCTGTTAAACATTCTGTGCAGTTTCTGGTTCTCAGACAGCAGCAGTGGCCAAGAGAACTTTTCTTCATCCACAGGCAGCTGGAAGGTTGCAACCTTTCCTTTTCAATGTGGACCCTGCTACAGTTATCCAGAACTTTGTAATCTCCAGACTGGAGTACTCCTGTGCATCGCTCCCTATGATGACAGTACCTGTAAACCTCTCAGAGACTTCAGCTGTGCTGAAGAATGCTGCTGCCTCCTTTATTTAGTGGTGCTTTTTGCATGTAGCATTTTACCCATGTGCTCCAGAGCCTGAACTGACTTCCATCTCGTTTCTAGGTCTGCAGTGTAGTTGTCTCTCTCATCAACAGAAATTGGTCCAATAAAAGATATTATCTCACCCACCTTCTCTGTACTCTATACTCACCATTCAGTTCAGATGATATGCAACAGCTAAATAAAGTTGTGTACATCCGCAAGTGGGGTTAGGGCATTTTCAGTGGATGACCCTCAACTCTGAAATTCACTCTTCCACTTGGTCTTAGAGAGCATGAATCAGCTGAACTTCAGGGCTCGTAATAAAGCTGGACTATAATAATTACTCAGGCTTTATTCTGAGGAGGTGAGTTGAGAGCAGAAGAGCTCAGATTTTGTGGGTGGGGAAGAGGTTTAGCAGATCTTTTGCCAGCTTTGAACTATTAGGCTATATCCTTTCATAGACTGAGTTGATTGTATGCAGAGAGACTGACAATAAGTGAATTGTACAGCTTGAAAAATAAACTCAAAGTAGTAGGTGAATAAGCAATTTTAAGAGGTGAAATTTAGGTACAGCTGCCTTTGGTTTTGTTTAAATGTTTGCTTCAGCACTAAGGGTGATCGTCTAAAAATATTAAAAAGTCCAGTGCTATGAAGCAATGAAGTGTTATGATGAGAAAGGAAGACTTATACATTAATTAGACACCAATGTCAAATATAAAATTCACTTTTGGGAATGAATGTTCACTGTCTCACAGTACCATTATGTCTTCAGTTTGATTTGCATATTTCTTTGACCTTCATAGCATGAATTTCTTTACAGTGAAACCAGCTCTCAGTGACTCTTATTTGACCTTGAAGATATAAGGGCCTGGTCCTAATAGGTGCAGAGCATTTACAAATCCCTGGAAAGTCATTGGGAGTTCCAAGTGCTCTGCACCTCTCGGTATCAAGCCTTAACTTGATATTTTACTTTTATAAGGAAGCTCAAATAACATAATTTGATGAGTAGTAAGAAAAAGGCACCAAACTTTTTTTTTCTCTCTCTCTCCCTCACACACACATACACAGAGCAGTAAAACACCACGTTTCTTAATTCTGCAAAATTTATATGTTAGAGCTATTATCTCAGCCAGTACAAATGAGGGAAGGCAAATCTTTGCCTGTCCTTATGGCATAAATGTCCTGGCTTTCCTCATACAGGATGACCCTCAACAACTGAAGCTGGGACTGAAAAAACATCTGCATTGTGCTGCAGACTCAAATCCTGATACAGCTCTAAGCTTTAGAATTCGAATGAACCCAACAAGATTATGCAGAGGGGCAGCATAACTCTACACATTAATTAGAGCTATGTGGAAGGACATATTTATTTTGGGGTAAGCTTTTTCTGATATTTGTGTTGCCTGATTCTGATTTCATTTCACTGTCTTTCTAAGTAACAATCAGCCATTATCATAATCTGTGATGTGAAGATTTGGTATGAGCCAGCCTTAAATTATATTTATGCCATAATAAAGTAAAGGTATTTAAATCTGCTGCAGTTGCTAATTACTTTAGACTGCATTCTATTTTTTTAAAAATATTCTGGCTTTTACTCACAAATTAATGCAATTATTGACTAACTGCTGTTAAAAGTAAGCAATGCAACTTTCATTTTCCGAATTTCTTTAAGAGTATAATAATGCAATAGAACAGAAGAAAAAGGGCTCAATATTAACAGTGTAAAAAAAAAAACAGTCAGTGCAGCAGGACTGAAAATTAAGGAACATTAAGCACAACAATATCTCTGAGGACTATTAATGTATTGGTAATTTCTGTTGCATATATCTGTATTTCCTTACCTTGGATGTGAATAATTCTGTCATGCTCCAGAGTGTAGTTGCCAGTATGTTCAGCCCAGCAGATAGAAATCAGCACCAGAAAAAGTAGACTCTTCATTTTTTATAGCCAAAAGAATCTTCTTCACTGTGAGAGCATCACATACAAAAAGGCTTGTGAATTTTGGAAGTCTTTAGTGTTGCACTGCACAACTTGTTACAGCCTGATCATGGTATAACGGGTCTATAAAATATTTAACCCTCTCTGCTGAAAAAGTTACAGTAGCTAGTATTTTAGACACAAAGACTGAAGCTTTTCTCATTAGAGTTACCTATATCCCGTTAAATGAAACTAGAAATCAAATAATATTTAACTCTATCTATGCAGAAGTGCAAATATGAACATATACAAGTACACATTAACATACACAAAATAAACTACTTGGAAGACCAAAGGTAAGCAATAACTGTGCTTCTAAAAATGTTTTAGTGTACTTTTGGTTTTCCAAAACTACTCCATATTGGTCTATTAATGCAAGTAACAATGATCTAATCTATAACCATATACTGTATAATACAAACAAATAAAAATGAATCCTTAGCAAGTAAATAGTATTTTCATGGCTTTTGGCATTTTAGTCCAGGCTGCAAGTTATCTTAGCAAACTGGGTGTTAAGTTTACTTGATCCAAACAGAAAAGATGACAGAATATTTGTCAGACAGATCACAAAAGGTATATTTTATTTCAGATCCACTTACCATTTTAAAGGGTGCCTAAGTATACAGTGAAATGTTGGGAACCATGAACAAAGTAGGTTAGAGTTCTATAGGCTACCACTGCAGTTGCCCTGATTGATTTTTCATTCATTTCTACCTAGAATGCTGACGCACTAACTTAGTGTGCCAGGTAGGGTCTCTGCAGTCAGCAGAGCTGAGCGCTGCAGGGAAAATCTCTGCCAGCCTCAGAGTAATAATTAGGCAAATGAAGACCTGAAATAGATAACAAGGCATAAAATACAAGAGGTCTTCTGCAGAGGGTTTAAGCTGATGTACTCTTCAGAGCAATCACTATTATAACACTGGATTCTCTAAATAGAGGAACATATTCTCAAACTTCGCCTTTCAAGAGACTAGGATTTTTTTTAATAAACTTCAAATAATGAGAATGTTATGAAACACAACTACTTATGACATACTTAGTATATTCTTACTGAATATAGCTTACTAATAGAGAAAGCACATTTTATTATCTTGTTTTCTTTTATCAGAGCTAGACATGAGTCTGACCTCAAACCCCAGATCCAAACACCCCCAAACTTAGGGGGGTGCTCACAGTCAGAACCTAGATCAAAATCTGAACTCTGCAAACAGTCTCTATCCCTATAATACACTAGCCCCTGGATGTAAATAAATTACTCATGAACATGAAGATGTTTCGAATCCAGATCCAAATGTGATTTGAGCCTATCTCTAGTCATAAGCTAACAAGCACAAATAGAGCAATTGTGCTGCTATTTTTTCCCCATAATAGACCTTTCACGTCAGCACTGCTGCAGAATGCTGGGGACAAGAACAAGGGCAGAATATTAACAAACAGGGGTCCAACTGTCCATGGACCCTTACCTTTGATAAAGATGAATCTTAGTGTTATCATGGATTCTAGAGTGAGATGACTTTAAAGTCTGATTTTTGCTTTCTTTAACAATGTTTGATGCATTGGTTCAGTGATCTCTTGGATAGCCTTTGCTGGAGTGGTTCTTATGTTTCCTGGCTGAATTTTTAAAGATGCTTTTCTCTAGTGAAACCCATACGAAACACATACAGCAATGTTATGCCACCTGCCCTGCCAACTGGTGACTCCCAATGTACTGACAACATTCCCTCTGATACGTACTGGGGTGAAACTGGCCCATTCTGTCGGCAGACATTGTACAAGTTTACCACAATAGCTCTACCAAGACATATCAGCTAACCCACTATGGGCTTTTCTTAAGCAGAAAGTACCAGTCATACAAAATTGCATGCTTGTGGACTAAGCCAGGATTTTAATGCATGTCTTCAGAGCCAGTCTTCCCCCACCCACACAAAATAATGCTGCCAGCTATTCCGAGCTGGGAAATGGCCCATAAGGGGCTGTTGCAGCCAGAACATAAATTAGAGAAACCCTGAGGCTAACCTAGTGTATTCTGAGAACTAGTCACACTCCTGAACAGGCTGTTACCAGGAGCACAAATATGGCTCCCATTTCCATTGATGTGCTTGGTGCAGGAGCAAAGAATCAGAAGTATCAGGCCTAGATGTCCAGTAACATCAATCACTTCTCAAATTCCCCCTCTTATTCTCCCATCAGGTTGCATACCACAGTCATACATATTTTTTTTCCATGACTCTTCTCCATAATTGTTTTGGTCAGGCAGGCTTTGCACAACCGGTCCTAGTGGCAGAGTGCAAGGTAGGCATGCATACCTCAGTGGTAGGGTTACCATCCGTCCGGGTTTCCCCGGACATGTCCGGCTTTTGGGTCTTTAAATAGCCGTCCGGGGGGAATTTGTAAAAAGCTAAAAATGTCCGGGATTTCCCCCCGGACGGCTATCTAAAGACCCAAAAGCGGCTGACAGGGCAGCCGCACCGGATTGAGCCGCTCAGGCAGCAAAAGCCCCTCCCCCGCTGCAGCTTCAGCACGCCGGTAGCAAAACGGGAGCAGGAGCTGTTTGTGCTGCTACAGCCCAGAAAGCCACCCCCCTGCCCATGGCAGCCGGCCCTGATTGGCCAGCCCTGCTCCCTCCCCCGCGCTGGGGGCGAGTCAAGAAACAGGGAGCAGGAGGGTTGGGTGGGGGTTCTGGGGGGACCTGTCAGGGGGCAGGGGTGTGAAGAGGGATTGGGGCAGTCAGGGG